CGTCGATTTTTACAAAGCTCATCGGTCTGAAAAGCGAGGTGTGCTCTGATTGGTCAGCTATCCAGTGCATTGTGATTTGCCGAATACCTAAAGCGTGCGACGGAAATGTTACGCCCCTTACCATATTGTGATGCCTTGCCCCGGCCGGAGCGATGAGACAAAAACTATGCAAATCTTCCCACATCGTGACGTAGACATGTGGGGGCATGTTAGAACGAGCCGTTTTAGGTAGGCGTGGTTGACTCTTAACTTTTATAAAGAATATCTCTTTGGATTTGAGACTTTAGTCTTTGCAACTTTACAGATCTTCTTTATGCACCACGAGCTTGTAACACTCCAAAGAGAAAGGAAAAATTGAAATCGCATCATATGACCCCTTTAATCAATATGTACTGTTGAATTTATGATGAGAATGAGTGAAAGAAGGAGTGAAGAGGAAAGAGTGAAAAACTGTAGGCCAGCAGTGGGCTCTTTTGATGAGATTCCCATGGTCAGACCTCCCACCCAGTGTGGCATTGTGTGGCACTCAGGTCACGACTGACATGGAGTTGAAGAAGGTTCCTGCTGTGTTCTGTGAGGTGGATGCATAATTCTATGACTGTGCCCTCACCAGGGGACATCATTAATGAATTTGATCCTTCGCCATGTGCATGTGAGGAGACTAGCATCAAGCTACTGCTTTGTGCTCACTGTTAAGCTTTCTGAAGTTCTGACATCTGTCTAGTTTAATTTGAATTGAATTTTTTTTTAAAGTGAATTAAAAATGAAAAATGTGCTGAATATTTACTTTCCAAGATGTAGATGAGTTTGTCCAGTCCATTAATTAACATTAATGAACTTAATAATCTTGTGAAGCAAACAGCATGTTTGTAATAATAATAATAACAATCATCATCATTATCAAGACGTTTTTAACTTCAAACCATTGCTTCCAGCTAAAATATATGGGTCCTCTATCCATAATATTGCTTTCTCCAGTGAAAAAAGGGTCTCTTCTGAATCAGGAGAGAAATATGCACAAATCAAGCACGGTTTACAACAGGGGATGAACTTCTTCACTGGAGGAAATGTTATTATGGATTATTGACTATTTTGGTTATAAGCACGCAGCTTTTTTACTTCACAAGATGTAAATGGATGGATTGTGGATTATTATGATGTTGCTGTTTGAATTCTGATGGCACCCATTGACTGCAGAGGATCCATTTGTTAAGCACGTGATATAATGCTAAGTTTCTCCAAATCTGTTCCAATGAAGAAACAAATTCATCTACATCTTGGATGGCCTATAAGGATAAGTAAATTCTCAACAAATTAAAATTTTACATTAAATTTAATTTTCAATAAATTTATAATTACATTTAATTTTAATGAATTACATCACATTTTTATTTTTAATTTTAATTGATTAAACATGTTAAATTAACACCCCTAATAATTATATATAATTAATCTCATAAGAAACAGTTGCACAAGAGTTGCTAAAGTACCATTAGAGCGAGTTGAGGGCCCAAATTTAATAGGTTCTTGATTTCCACTGATTGACTGCTCTGTGTTTCCAGCATCGGGTTTAATTGTCTGTCAGTCACTTGCCATCCACAGCCAGTATCTTGAAATGCCCTCAGGAAATAGTCGATAGATTGGATTAAACTCCTACTACACAGGAGACAGCCAATGCACTGATACTGAATGCTATTATACACAGAGACACGCACACAGCTGTTTAACACAGACTCTGCCTATCAACAAGATTTACTTTAAAAAAGCAGGATGGGGCTTGAAGTCCCAGTGGAAAAACAGAAATAATGACTTGCTGTGAAAAATAAAAGACTTAAGCACCCTGCAAAAACTAGCAGAGAGAATGACAGAGAGAAAGAAAGAGACAAATATGCCAGCGTTTGTAACCACAGGACTGGGGTGCCGCTGGGTTTGATTTGAGATAAGACCTGGTCGGAGTGTCCACCGTTGCTATGGTTACTGAGATACTACCATTCCCACACAGTAAGCAGAATTCATGAGGCTAATATAAAGATAATCAAAATGGCACACACTCAAATGAGCCCGTTTGGCTCCAGTGTGAACGCAGACATTGGGAAAATGATGAATAGCAGACTCCTACACTGACACTTCCTCCGGATCCGGTGCTTTTGTTTTCCCACTGGTCACAAATCCCACAATTGCCCAAAATCTGCAGAAGCCTTTATGAAATTCTGTATGAAGGTGTTTCCCATTCTTATCCCAATTCACATACAGCTGATCTGTGTATTCAGTTCCACAGATCCACAGAACACAGTGGGGTCCAAATATGTAATTTTTGGAATTTGTAATTTTTTTAAAAACATAAAAAAAACATTTACATTTTTTTATTTTTTTTAATGATTCAGGGCAAGAGTCCTATTGCAGGTTCTTACATATTTCTCCATTTTATTTAATTATTTACTTATTTATTTCTGTACTTATTACATATATATAATTGTTAAAGTATAAATTAAATATTAAATCCCAGTTTTTCAATGTTATTTTAGACTTCTGGACCCTTTATAGAAGTTTTTGTTATTGTTCTGTGCAAGATATGTGGAATGTGGGACAACATGCTAAATCATAAGCTCTCTACCCAAAAAAGTATCTATTTATTTATTTTATTAGATTTAATTTAATTTAATTAGATTTAACATTTTTATTGATAGTTTTTGGTATTGGATGAATTATATATTACCGTTCAAAAGGTTGGGGTTGGAAGGTTCTAGATTTTTTAATGTTTTTAAAAGTATTCTCGTATGCTCACCAAGGTAGCATTTATTTGTTTAAAAATATAGTAAAAACAATAATATTTTGAACTTTTACATAATTGTTTTCTATTTTAATTTAAGATAATTAAGTAATCTAAGATAATAAAGTAATTTATCCTTGTGATGGCAAAGCTGAATTTTCAGCATCATTACTCCAGTCTTTAGTGTCACATGATCCTTCAGAAATCATTTTAATATGCTGATTTGGTGTTCAAGAGACATTTCTTATTATTATCAACACTGAAAACCGTTGTGCTGATTCAGATTTTTATGGAAACTGTGATGCATCTTTTTTAGGATTCTTTGATGAACAGAAAGTTCAAAAGAACAGCATTTATTACTCATCTTACTCACCCCAAACAGTTAAATGGCTGTGTAAGTGTTTAAGTCTATTTCTTCTCATCTTTCCCTCCGTTTTGTATTTTTTATTTTACTAATTAAGGTGCATACCTTTTGGAATGGTCTTAAAATACTGCCTTCATGGGCAACTCACTGGGTTTTGGAGCAAAGCTTATTATTACACAAATGTGACTGTCGAGCACTGCTCTGCTTTCTGTCTATTTTATTGTTCTGGAACCCACTCATTGCCCTTCTTCCATTTACAGCCACTACTGTACTCTACTATTCTCGTCATTCATTCCTTCTACATCATTTCTTGTTGCCTGAAGCAGAGTCAATGATTCACTATCCATGCTATTGTCAGTGTAAATAGCTTTTCTACAAACTCGCACATTGCTGGTTTCCAATCATTTCATTTACCACGAACAGGAAATGACCACAACCCAAAGAGCCTAGGATGACATCACCTTCTCATTTTATATTATTCTGTAGTGTATTTTGAACTATGATCTATACTGTATGGACAGAGTGTGACTTCTTGAAGGACGTCATGTCAATGTGGGCGGCCTTCTGACTTTTGTTTGACTTGTGCACATTTCTGCAGCTTGTCTAATGAAAGCTCTTCAAACTGAAGCAAGATTTGCAAACTCACACCTCCTCAGTAAAGGCACTGTCACATTTCCTCAGCCTGCTGCGGGAAGCTTGACAGATGCTTTTCTGGTCCTTGCAGATGCTTTCTAGACCCGTTTTAAGCAATTTGAAATAACACATAATTACTCTTTCTTTCAAGCCAACTCTTGCAGATCTCTTTGGGTTTAGTCATCTTCCTCCAAAAAAGAAAAGCATGGCAAAAATCTGATTACAGAGCCAAAACCGGACTCAGATAATCACATACATCTCTAAATTTTCCATATCCTGTAGAAGAAACAAGTGTGTGCTTCTCTGACACTGAACAGACTTGCATAAATGTCACCTCCTTACCTGACAAGCATTATACAGCAGCTGGTGCTCGAACTTCTTAATGCCAAGAATCTGTTGGAACATCTCATACAGCTGGTCCTTGCTGAGAATGAGCTCGGAGGCAGCGCTGGCTGTCATGCGCTGCTGGTGTTTGCATGGGTCTTCCTCTCCCCTGTAGATGGTGTCGAACTTGGCCATCCATGAGCTCAGGACCGTCTCCTTGCTCAAACCATCGATCTCCGGCAGGCTGCGGACACGTTTCTCTATGTGCTTCTTGAAGACCTCACGGGAGTCACTGGCGGAGCAACCACCGCTTTGGACCATACGGGACACACGGTCGCTTTTAAGGAACACCTATGATCAAACATAAATCTTGTTGCAGTAACAAATATATATATACATTAATAATAGTTATTAATAGTTTGGAATAACCTAATGCTGGCTGACAACAACATCCAGGCCCTTCCAGAACTCCCAGCTACCCTCAAGGACATCAACTTCCACAATTACCAGCTGAGGAGTTCAGGCATGCATGCATGGACAACCTTTAAATTTTTTTAAATGTTTTTGAAAGGATTCTCTTATGCTTACTAAGACTGTATTTATTTGATCGAAAATGCAGATATATATATATATATATATATATATATATATATATATATATTAGAGGTGTAACGGTACACGTATTCGTATTGGAAATTTTCGGTACGGGTCTTTCGGTTCGGCTCAAGCCATCAATCTTAACAGCAAGAGATTCATGTGTGATCTGAAAAAAGGCATGAGCTCAGAGAATCAGAGGCCAAGGCTGCTTCTATCAATTCCAAGCTATTTTTCTGGTTTCAAAAACATTGGCTGCAGGTCAGCGCAACCTTGTTAAATGGCTATCAAGACACTTGAAAAATACTTTGTCCTATTAGACAAGATTTTCTCTGTGTCATAAAGTGCACAGTAGAGTCCTGATTCATAACCAGACAAAATTGGTGCGAATCTGGCAGTGCACAATCTGTCTGACAATCTGCAGTAGGGTTTAGGTTATATTTATTTAATAATCTATTCTTTCACTCTTTTTATTTTCTGTATTCTCTCACAATTCACCTCTCATATTTTTATCTTGGCCTACCTCTCTCCAGTGGACACGATTCCCTTAACGTGCCTGGATAAGCAGTGGAGATGAGTTGACAGAGAGGGAACATCCAGCACAAATTCAATAAGAGTATCAGGGTTTAATTGAATTGAAAACCTGACTTTGGCTGTGACTGAATACAAAGGCATTTTGCTCATTAGTTTCACCTCATTAAATTACCACCCATACTGAGACCAACCTCCTTTTCATCCAAAACTCAAGCCTGTGTGGCAGTTTATTCCCAATTCACCTTTTCTAGGTCATAAAAGATAATATATAATCTTAAATACAATTAAAATATGTCACTTTGAGATTACATATTTATTGGAGAGGAAAGTTTCACAAAATCCTTTGCAAGGACATGTTGAGCTGAAGTCACTTCAAACATTTAACAGATTGACTGCAACTGTGTCCTTATGTATTTAATATATGCACAGACATGGATTACTCTGTTCAATGTTCATCAAATCAGCATAAAACAAACAGCTTAACATTTCTAAACAATCCCCTTTACACTGCATTATATTAATGGGAGAGACAAAGGATCTGTTTAGATGTCCCCAAAAGTTAATCAATGGTACCTAGCTGAGCATTCAAAAGTATTTTTATCTGCAAAAACATAATGTAGTTTAAAGGTACACCAAGTCATTTCTTCTGCTGTTTGTGTTTTGTTAACTCTCATTTTGCTTTAAACAACCAACACATTGGCTTTGGGCTCTATAATGACACTTATTAGAGTGCAACGTCACAAAAAGCATTTTTAGTTGCTAATGCCATTTGCAGGCACATTTTCAGCTAGGATTTATTTATTATGCTAAAAATTAATACAGGGGTTGCCCAGATAAAGTGAGCAGTAGTCAGCTGGTCATGATGTCATGATATCAACATGGCAGACCACTCTTGTGTAAAATAGGCCCCTGATTTGACTTTTGAATTTTCATGAACAATACAAAAAAAAAGTACTACATATTTATTTACGTGTAAAAGATTACTTTTAAATTATGAAAATCACCTTATATTGCTGCAAAATACCATACTGAATGTACTGGAGAATTCTAGTTTTAGTTTAATTTCTCCTGTGGATAAGAATTAATCTGTCTGCACCAGCACTTTGTTTCATCACATCAAAATAGGTCCTTGTCCTTTTATATCAAACAGAATGATATTTAAATAAAATAAAGTTAATCTAATATCAACATAAATATATTATTCATCAAGGATCAGTAAGATTTTTCTTTTTTGAAAGAAACTAAGTTTTGCCGTCTTTGCCAAGATGAGCTAGTCTGAGATCCATTGCAAGTGGAAGAAATTGTTGCACGAATAAATAAAAAGAGCCTAACCTCGTAGTAACTTTGGACAGCATTGATGAAGGCTTCATCGGCTACAATCTGAGTCTCTCCATTCAGGAAGGCCTGGAAACGATCTTTAACTGTCTGAAGGTGCTGCTTGCTGATCTGAGAAGAGAAAACATCAGAAAGACAGAAACTTAAATATATTATTGCATTTTCATTCCATGTGACATCAAAAAAAAATGTCCAGATGTTAACAGCATCTGTTCTAGCTTGGAACATCTTCATTCATATGAGGAAATGATGGATGTGGCAATGAGGTTATTTGGTGACCAGGTGCTGGATTCACAAAAATCTTCTTAAGAAGATATTTCTCGAGATTAAACTCCAAGAAGTTGGTAAGAATGTTCCTAAGTGCAATTCTTCAAAAATTATTAAGTTCTCAAACATTTTCTTAAGAATAAGTTTTTTTTTTTCTTAAGAAGAAAACTGCAGTCTTTAGTGTTATCTGAATGTTTGGCAGTTCTAGCCAAAGACTTGCTGATCAACATCTTACCTTTGTGGATATAAGAAAAGTTGGAAGTTATCGTAACGTTAAGAAGTTATTTGCAATGATTTTAAATAATATTACTTTCAAAAATGTGAATTCTTCTTGTTTTTTCTTGTTTGGATGTCTTAAGTTTTTATCTTAAGAACAATCGTATTTTTGGGATTACAATATGTGACCCTGGACCACAAAACCAGTCTTAAGTCGCTTGGGTATATTTTTAGCAATAGCCAAAAAAAACATTGTATGAGTCAAAATTATCGATTTTTCTTTTATGCCAAAAATCATTAGGATATTAAGTAAAGATCATGTTCCATGAAGATATTTTGTAAATTTCCTACCGTAAATATATCAAAACTTAATTTTTAATTAGTAATATGCATTGCTAAGAACTTCATTTGGAAAGCTTTAAATGCGATTTTCTCAGTATTTTGATTTTTTTGCACCCTCAGATTCCAGATATTTAAATAGTTGTATCTCGGCCAAATATTGTCCTATCCTAACAAACCATACATCAATGGAAAGCTTATTTATTCAGCTTGAAGAAAGTTGACCTTTATGACTAGTTTTGTGGTCCAGGGTCACATATATTCTTATCTTTTTTAAGTAAGATAATGAGACAATAACAGTTAAGAATTTTATTTTTAAGATTGTTTGTGAATCCAGCTCCAGAATTCCTCAGAAAATTTTCCTTTTGACTCATTCAGTAGAAGCTGAAGTAAGTTTTCATTCTGCTTTGACCTAAAATCAGTCTGAATTTCACTTAATATTATAATTAGCTTTTGATGAAGAGGTGAATGGGGCCCTTGAACCACAAAAATAAATAAATAATATAAATCCTCACTAAATAACATAATAGCAACAGACTTTTTCCCACTAAGTATTAGACCTCTTGCTAATTTCAAATTGCAAAAACAGATCATATTTCAGCCAAGAGGCCACATAAAACCTTTAGACAACTGAGAATGAGAGACACTGCCCATCTTGAAGCACTTCTCATCCATCTGGATAGAGACTCGGTTTGGAAGAAATGTGAAACAAGCGTCTAGATTACAGTGATTGCCCACAGACAGAGTGCTGCAGATGCTAATGAGTTTTGCTCATATGGCTATGAAACGATGCATTTTATGTTTGGAAGCTTGACTTTATAACAGTTAAGCCTTATTTCCTTAATGATTTCAGAGCTGTTTTCATGTTCTGCTTATCCGCTATTCATGTTCCATTTGCAACACTAAGGTGTTCTTCACTTCACTAATATTTACAACACACACATTTTTAAGAGGCTGAGAGGAGACCGAATCTCTTGTCTCATGACCGAGTCAGGGAATTGATAATTATAGAGTATATCCTGCATTCCACTCCTCCCTTGTGTTTCTTCCCCCTGCCATAAGAATTTAAAAGTAAAATAAGCCATTCAGTATAAAATTTGGGCTTTACTGAGAGTTACAATTAAATACGGACAAGGAATGAGATGGATTATTGAATCCACCTTGTGGATGAAATAAATGCAAATGATTAATAATAGAACAAAAATAACATACTGACAATAGCCATAGGTGACTCATCACTTAGTCCTTTGTAACAAAGAAGGTTAGTTACGCAGTTGGCCAGGTTACCTTGATGTAAGTGGCACAAAAAAAAGGGATAGAAATCATAGTAAAATGGTTGTATAATGCCTGATACATGATATGCATAACCTGAAATGTTCAAAAGAACTACGGATGAAAGGATATGTACTTCAGACTTTTGTTCTAAAGCATTATGGGTAATTTTATATAATTAATGCAGCTCAAATTCCATTTTACTTCTGAAATTAAATTTCCAAATGCAACAGGATATTGGATGTGGTTAAGACAGAATTACAGATTTTTTAAATTAATAATATACAGTATATACTGTATATAAATATATATATATATATATATATATATATATATATAATTATTCTTTGTTTTATAAATAATTACATACATAAACATTTTTAATAATGTCCACAATTTTTTTATATTGACTTTAAAAGATGCAATGGTTTGCTTACAGTTTCTTGCTCATGTTCCTGGTCTCTCTTAAATACAAACACATGCACACTGTGAATTGTTAATCTGAGGATCAATGTAACCACGATTACCTTTTAATTTTGCCATTGATTTAATTCAATGATATACTGCATTTAGTTAATTTTCTTTTGTTTGTCACACCTGACCGGTAAACGGCAGCAGGCCTTTGATATGTTAGTGCCCCCACCTTCAGGGTCTCAAACCATATGCTCTCTGCTTTCAGCATGGAGATCTAGTGTGTGTGTGTGTGTTTATGTGAATGCTGGACATCCTTTTAAAATCCCAGGTGTTCCTCCTCATCGAATATGTTGCCATGGTCACTGAGTACACATGAACACACCCCTTACCCCATTATCCCCTCTCAGGTTATCCAACAGTATGACCTCATAACTATGAGAGGCAGCTGCATTAGCTCCATTACTCCCATGGTAACTGCAGGAGTGATTAGAGTGGATAGGTTGATGTAGAGCAATTAAAGTGTATCCTCTAAACACTCAGTGTAATGTTCTCTCTACGTCACCATGACAATGCGTTCCATGGTTGAGGCTCCTACACTGCTAACCTCATGACTGATAGCATACTAACATATTACTCCTGCTATCTGTGCCATATATGGCAGAAACAATAAGAGTAGTATGCAACATACTATTCCAAATTCAGCTGAAAGTATACTATGTATATTAGCTGGATGCTAATATACTAGCATGTTACTCCTGCTATTTGTGCCATACGACAAAAACAAGAGAAAATATTCAGAATTCAGCTAAAATATACCATGTATACTAGTAGTATGCTAATATAGTAGCATATTACTCCTGCTATTTGTGCCATATGCGGCATAAATAAGAGTAGTATGCCAGCATACTATTCCAAATTCAGCTGAAGTATATGTATACTAGCAGCACGCTAATACTACCATACTACTCCTGCCAGTTCTGCCATATGGCAGAAATAATAAGAGAATATGCTAGCATGCTATTCCGAATTAAGTCAATGTATACTATGTATACTAGTAGTATGCTAATATAGTAACATACTGCTCCTGCTATTTATGCTATATACAGCATAATAAAAGTAGTATGCTAGTATGCTCTTCTAAATTTAGCCGAGATATATGTATACTAGTAGCGTATACTAGCCAAAATATGTACACTAATAGTATACTAATATGCTAATGTACTAACATACTTCTCCTACATTTTTTCTGCCATATACTGTATGCTACTAGTATACATACTTTGGCTGAATTTAGAATAGCATGCTGGCATATTACTCTTATTTATGCCATATATAGCAGAAAAAATATGAGAAAATTCTAGCATGCCAAATTCAGCCAATGTACAACACGTACTCTCATAGAAAAAAGGTACAAAGCTATTGCTGGGGCAGTACATTTTCAAAAACTACACTAATATGTACACTTTAGGTACATATATGGTACATATATGGCAGAAATAAGAGAAAATGGTGTATGCTATTCTGATTTTAGCCAACATATATTATGTATACAAGCAGTTTGTTAATATACTAGCATATATGCACTATATACTATTTCTGCTATATACAACAGAAACAATAAGAGTGGTATGGAATTTTGACATTCCCAAATCATCTGAAGTCAAACGGGTTTGAGACAACAAGTAAATGAAGACAGAATTTTCATTTTTGGGTGAACTATCCCTTTATATTCAGATTAAGTCACACTAAAGTCCCTTTCAAGTCAATCCACTCGTCGACCATCTTGAGAACGCACTCAGGCAGCTATTTTGGGTCAAGGATTAGAAATAGCAAAATCTCATAAACTGCTGAATGGTATGCTGCTGAATTATGCTAAATAGCTTACATTTCTTAAAGTCTGCGTGAACCGGAATTTGCTGCCGGCTTTATTTCAGTGTAGTGACGTATTTCCATCTGAAACGGAATATTGAATAGAGGGCATGGTTTTATTTTGGCGCTCCTCCTCTCTGTCTCTCACTCACAGCAATCTAACGGTTGGAGGGGTGTGTTTAAGAATATTCTGCCCAAGCCGTCAAACTGATGTCATCAGAGAAGGAATGCCATTCCAGAGCGGAAGTAAATGTTCAGATTTTGATTAAAGATTACCAAGACAAACAATTATTTTCTGCGGATTAACTTGCACGGATTAATTGTTCACATCAAGACTAGCAATGTGCGCTAGTAAAGTAAATAGAGTCAATTTTGATTTCATGCGGACTTTAAGCTAAAATAATACTAAAAATGTATATTTCAGGCTGACCGAGCCAATTTGCATGTGCACAGGCTGAGCACAGTCTCACGACACCAACCACTTTGGTACAAAATATTCATACCTTCAATGTAAATGTAATCCAGTCATTATTCTGCAGTTCCTAAAATATAAATAACAGAGAGCCTGAACTCTGTTGATCTAATGCAATTTGTTTTCAACACCACAGCTGGCATAGCTAGCATGACCTATTGAAAATGATATCAGTGTTGAATATCAAAGGTGTGCAATGTAATAAACAAACAGCCTATCACCGGAGACTCTCCATAACTAATGGTCTTGAAATTAATGATTG